TCCCTGCAGAGGCATGTGTGACTTCTTGACTATACAGCTCACTGTACACTGGCCTTTGAACGTCTGGAATGTACGGTATGTTTTCAGGACCCAGCCTATTCTTGCATACCCATCAACTGCCCCAGAAAAACTGGGACATCCCGTTTCCCCCTACAATTTTGGCACCTTGCTCTTGTGCAATTTCGGGTCAAGATCTCAACACGCACAACCCGAAGTGTTTTTCCAAGTCTACAATGTTGCACAGCATGCCAAAATACGTATTTTGGGGGCACCATTCCCCCCAAAAGTGGGTTTTTTCTGGCAGTTGTGGAGAAGTGCTAGAAAGACCATTCCCCGCCCAAGTCCCACAGAAAATTTGCTGTGGGTCAGGGTCAATGACACGGGGGCTGGATGGACAAAAAAACAAAACAAAACACCTTAACCATGAAGCAGTGGCCAAAACTCATCATTGATATGCTGTCTATTGAACTGGATTCACTATGAGGGCTTCAGCTTTGCCGGTCACATGTTTTGAGAGGCGTGGTCAACTTCCCTTGAAAGTTGTGTGACCTCCGACTTGAGTGGCCATCAGCTTTCCTGGCAAAACCCAAGCACAGAATTAAAACCTTGGAACAAGGAGAGAGAGAGAGGGAGAGAGAGAGAGAGGTGGACTGTTTAAGACACACAGAGAGACACAAGGCAGGCAAAAGGTGATACCTTTTTATTAGACCAACTTCCGTTGGCGAGAGCGTGCAAAGCCGTCGAGCATTTGGAAAGGTTTAGCATTTAGTCACTGGCTTTAACTAAGCACATTCGGACAGACATTGAAAAAAAACCAAAACAAAAAACCAAAAAAGACAAAATCAAATCATTATCTCTTCTTAAAAATGAAAAGGACTGTTTGTTGTTGTCGTTTTTTTGGAAAAGAAAAAAAAGACGAAGTAGTCATAGAGCCACACGAACAAATTTGGAAAGAAATCTGGAAAGAAACTTCCCCAGAATAAAAAACACTCAAACCCTCCGAAGTCAGCCAGTTAAAGCGCATTCAGAACAAAACAAACGCAACTTTTTCCACGAAAAAACGGGGGGTGGGGGGGGAGAGAGAGAGGAGGAGGAAGGGAAGGGGGCACCCGTCACGCACAGCAGCTGGTATTTACACACGGAGGCGGGGAAGGAACTATAGAGTGGAGAAAAAATATTCTTGAAAAAGAGGAGGAGGAGGAAGCTAGGTGGTGAGATGGGGAGATGAGTCCTTTGAACCAATTTGGGCCCTGAATCTAGCCAAGATTCACACGGCAACCTAACCTTGCTTTCTTTCCTTGTCGATCTCTCATTCCACAGCATGCCAGGGTTGGCTGTGGGTGCATGAGCCCAGAGACAGACATGGAGCCATGCTGCTCTCACGCCTGCCTGCCTGCATGTTGCCTGGAGTCAGTGACTCCCACCTCTAAAACCCCCAGGATTATTTCACCTCTCAATTTTTTTATATATATTTTTTTGAGCAGTGGGCACATGTGTCATTCCCTCATTGGGGGGGAGGAAGGAGGAGGAGGAGAAATGCTTCCTTTCAACCCTGTTTGAAAGCATTCTCACCTTTATTTTTGTTGGCCAGCAATTGCGAAACAAAATGAAATAACGTCATTAAAAAAAATATATGAAGATGGGTGAATTCTGCTGGTCACTCTCAGATGCGCAACGTGGTGACCTCTAGATGGCTTGGACCAGCCAGTATTTTCATCATGTGTGCTGTAGTCCAAAACATATGGAAGGCACCAGGTTAGTGAAGACTGTTCATGGGGAAGGTATCAACTGCGAGTTTCACGCTAGCTTAACTGCTATGCCTTGACAATGGAGGAATCCTGGGAACTGTAAGGCAGGCGTCCTCTGCGTGTTGCTGATGTACAACTTCCAAGAATGCCCCGGCCATCCCTGCTGTAGCCAATGGGAGCTGCAGTTCAGCAACACCATCAAACTAGAATCCCCCAAGCTACAGTTCTTTGCATGGAAGGCATGGCAGTTAGACTGCTTTGAAACCAGCTTAAGGTCACAGCACAGAAGCGTCTAAAGCAAAAGATGAGAAAAATCTTGGAAGCAGAAGACAGGGCAAGCTAAAAATCCAGATAAATAGGATAGCCTAACTGCGACCCCAGCAGACTGGTTGAATTAAGAGGAGACAGTCAGCTACCCACAGGACCAGGAGGGAATCGGGTCTATGGGCCAATAATTCTAAGATGACCTTTTCACATCGTTGCCATTGCCTCTTAAAAAGTCACTTGGAAGTGGGGAAGGGAGGCGACTCTTCCCCCTGCATAGGACGAAAAGGAAACACCCCAGTTTGCATTAAGGTCTCCTTCCGTTTTCACCAGGAAACGCTCCACAGGCAGCAATGGAAGCTGCAAGCATGGTTCGTGATGACTGGGGGAGGGTGAGATTGGGGTAAAAGCCGCTGCGAGGCTGTCTGACGTGTGTCCTGCCGAAATGAATGGGGCTGCGTGAGAGCGCATCGCCTTGCTCAACCTTCGCTCACTTCGGTGGGGCAAGGCCGTGACAACCTCCCAGGGGACGGCACCCTCAAACGCTTCTTCTTGAACAGGGCCAAGTCTTGCTAAGGGCTTTTGCAAAGGGCCCCGAAGGTTGACAGAGCTGGGTTTCCCACTTCAAGTTAAGCAACTGTGTAAATCTTTGGAAGATCAGGGGCTGGCGAGCCCTTCTGACTCCTTGAAAGCACCACGTGAGAGGAGGAGGCGGGGGGAGGAGGGGAAATTATATTTTAAATAGGAAGATGGAGATATATATAGATATATATTTCTTTTTGTAGAAAAATAAATAAATATTCCCCCCTTTTCTTTTGGACCGAGGAAGCTCTTTCAGCAGGATAAAAATCGTAAAGGAAGCAGGAATGGATAGTTTCTCACTCACTGGCAAAAGCGCCAACAAATCTGACGAGTTTCCAACTGGGGATTATATTCCTTTTAACAAACCACCAGCAAGTTGCCGCCCAGCCCCTCGCTCCCCGAATCAAAAGCCTGCTGGAATATATGTATTTCTATGGTATTTGGAGACAGTCCCTGACTTGGAATGATGGTCTTTGGGTTGGCAAAATTCTAGTCCTGGGTTGCCTCTACCTCCATTCAGTATTGTACTAACGGGTGAACAAGCCTAAAGTCACTAGATATGGGGGTTGCGATGTTTTGGAAATAGGAAATAGGAAGATACATGCCAGAGAACTCATTGCAAAGGGAAAAGACAAATAAGCTCGTTTGTTGAGAAAATGCAGGCTTATCTTCAAAAATTAACGACAGGAGCTGACGTGTAGCTTTTAGGCTGGCGATGTTTTCATAAGGAAACCTCAGAAGGTGGTAGACTCTCCTTCACCGGAGGTTTTTAAACGGAAGTTGGGTGGTCCATCTGTCAGGGATTATTTAAACTGTGATTAAACAGGGGTTGGACTAGTTGACCCCTGGTGTTCCTTCCATCGCCACAAAACTATGATTCTATGACCCCAATATTGTTAGTTCCTTTTGAAAGATACCTCATGTGGTTTCTTTGGAGAGGTTTCTTTGCGGGGGGAGAACTCTGGTGTCAAACCATCCGGCTGATACTGGGAACCATGGAGTCTGGACCACATTATCAAAGTCACAACGGCCTTGGGCTAGTTGCTGCCTCTCAGCCTGACCAACCTCACAGGGTTGTTGTGGGGGTTCAGTGAGGAGAGAGAGAACCATGTATGGCAACTCGAGCTCCTTGCAGAAAAAAGGTGGGATAGAAATGCAATACAGTCACACCTTGGGTTACAGACTCTTCAGGTTGCGTTTTTTTCAGGTTACAGACGCTCTGAAACCCGGAAGTACCGGAACGGGTTACTTCCAGGTTTCGAAGGTCGCGCATGCGCAGAAGTCCTACATTGCACTTTGCGCATGCTCAGAAGCGCTGAATTGCAACTTGTGCGTGCACAGATGTGCCTCCGCGGGTTGTGAACGTGCATCCCGCACAGATCACGTTTGCAACCCGAGTGTCCGCTGTAAATAAATAAATAAGAAATAATTAAAAAGGGGGAGGCCCAAGGTTAACAGATCCTACTAGGCCTGTCCTCTGGAAGTGGCAGGGTGGGGAAGAGCCAATCTCCTTTTAACATTTGTTTTTATTTCTCCAGATGTGGAAACTCTGACGGGTAAGGAGCTTTTGCGAGTGTTCTCTGCGCATAGATTCCTTTGCAAAACGTGGAAGAGGTCTCCTGCGCTGCAATGAACAGGGAGCCCCAAGTAAGGAAGAGATTCATCCCTGCACCACACCATGCGTGGATCTCCGAGAGGACTATTAGCTGACCGCCAATCAGATGAACTCCCTCGATCCAAAATCAAATGAAAAACAAAGAAACAAGGAACAGGAAAGAGAGATGACGAAGCATTTGTCCCTTAAAAGGACGCTCAGTAACAGCATGGTTTTTATGGGGCAAAGAGGGAAATAGTTTTCTTTTCTCTCTTATTTTTTTTTTCCTGTTTGTAAAATGAGTTGATTGGTGAAATGGGGGGGAGAAAGAAGGTATGCTGAGAGTTTGTCCCCCTCTTTTGTGGGTTGGTGGTTTTTTATTTTCATTTTTTAATACCACAGAAGTTCAGCGAAGAAAGCAGAGGGGAATAAAAGAGTCAGGGAAAAGAAGGATATGTCAATGGGAAATAAAGAATGATATTTTTTTTGGAAAAAAGGAAGTTTTTTTAAAAGTTGTTGTTTCTTAGCAAATACGCCACAGACTACAATAAACCGCCTACATTGAAACAATACACAGATCAATACCCAAAATGGAAAGTCAAGGGGTTTTCGACACGTTCGTAGGGTTTGTCTTTTTATCTTTGCGTCGTCGTATCTTTTTTCCCAAACAGTTTTTTGTTGGTTTGTGTGTTATATTGGATTTGTTTTTTGTAAAAAAGATCAAAAAATCTAAGTTTTCTTTGTTCTTTTTTTCTGGATTTTGATCTCTTTTTATGCAGAGATGACATGATGAAGGCTTTATAAAGAGAAAATAAGGAATGTATGTATGTATTTACACAGAGAAAACACAGTACTGTACAAATATACTCTGGAGTTTACACTGCATTTACCCCCAAACAAAGGTATCCTTTAAACACATTTAAACAATGAAATAAAAGCACCCCATGGCAAATGGATAGATTAACCCTGAATGTAAAGGATGATTCTTTGAACAGACCAAGGCATTCCCACCATTAAAAAGTAAATAAATCCAGCCTCCCAACAGAACACGAAAAATGCAGTTCACACAAGTATAAGCAGCTTTTCAGGGCAAACCATGTGTGGACTACATCTCCCACCATGCACTGCACACTTAATTTGGGCCAGTCCCGCCTACCGTAATTTCTCTAATAGATGAACCCCAGATATTGAATGGAAACTTTTTGGGCTTGGTTGAGGGTAATTACAGTTCCGTTCACATTTTTAATGTGTGTGTGTGTGTTTGAGTTGAACTGTGTCGGGGTGTGTTTGTGTGTTTACGTGTGTGTGTGTGTGTGTGTGTGTGTGTGTGTGTTTATATACACACACACACAAAAAGATGAGCAGCACACCCACACCGGTAAGTCAGACCTATGTGTTCGATTTGCACGCTTGTGACACACACATTAATATACTGATATAGCTTAGCGGCTGAATTTGCAATGGCTTTTAGATATCCCAACACAACGATTTGGACCCTGAGCCACTTTGGAGTTAGGATCATGGCAGCCAGTTTCCAACTGGGCTTTCTTGCCTGCTAAGTGATATGGGGGTGGGGAGCGGTGGGGGGGTAAACAGATTGCCTCTAAATGCACACATTAGAAACCCATTGCATAGCAAAAACGTGGCCTATACCAGTATATACATAAATGTTATCTCTACCTCTCCACGATATAATACAGAGAAATGGTTCTCAGATTGCCAGCGAGCTACAGCAATGGAACTTCTCCCCAAAAAAGCCAAGGAAAAGACAAAGTTTCCAATTGCCCTCGGAGAAATGTATAGCCGAGATGAATTTTGAAGGCAGTGTTAATCCTCAGTATTGGCGGCAAACCCAAGGGACAGGGCACGTGATCTGTGGTTTTGTTGAGGGCAGAGAGGGGAGGGGAGAGGTAGAAGGGGCCCCTCCAACCTCCTGGCCCAATTGAGGGGAGTCACAGAAGGGATTTCATCTCCCCCAGCAACTGTTTGCCCTTTCCTTGGTAGACCCACCTTGCACTTTGAGAACCAATCGCACACGCACACACACAAATAAATAGTTATAGCGCGTAGTATTTAGGCACATTAAAAGCTGGACACAGGCATCAACAGTGTCACGTATGCATGTTAAGCATACTTCGTCATGCCAACAACACGTAGCAGACATTTGCCACACTCTGTACTCCAGTTACGTCCCCACAAGGTCTTGTAAGCATCCTGCGAATGTGAGGATTGTGTTAACCCTGGGTGGTTTCTCTTAAGAGTCAAGCTTCGTGATCAGACCTAATACACTGCTTCAAGCTGCAGGTGGAGGATGGGCCATTTGAATGCTTGCTCAAGTACAGTATAACTTCCCTCCCTACGCAGAACAACCATATGCCAGCGAAATGGACGGGATTTATACAGTACAGTACACGGAAGGGCTCAAGCGCCTGGTCCTCTGCCTGCTGTCTGAAGTCATGTGGGTTCAGCACCAGGAGATAAGTCACACAGATCTGCTGACTGCGTAGCTCAGCTCTAAACAGAATAACTAATAGCGGCATTTTAAAATACGGTGATGGGGGTCCGCTTCTCCATTCTTGCTGAAGCTAAGGACGGGCAAACCCGTCAATTTCAGTTCCTCTCCATTTCTCATTTTCACCAGTCTTTAAGTTCAGTTCTCCATATTTCAGTTTGCAATGGGGGGGAGGGGGGAGAAGGCTTCATGAAGAGTTGGAGAGCATCATTACAAAATTCGGAGAGGACAAATTTCAAAGGGCAAATTTCAAATTGTTTCGGGAAGCATGAATTGGGTTGATTCCTGTTTAAATGTAAGCCAAATTGAATTTCTGCCCCATCTTTAGGTGAAGCAACTAAGGTATACTAGCTTCTGTGATCCATTTCCACAATTACTAAAGGATCAGTGAATTTCCAGTGCATGGTTAGATCAATGTTTGCATTTTCTAGCTACCCTTTGATTCACATAATCAGGGTGGTAAAAATAACATAAAAAGGTGATGGGTTCCCCCAGTTTCCTCTTGTAAATCTGTGCATTGTATTTCTAATGTTGGTTTCATTTGCAAATAAAGTTTAGAATCGCTACCCTATCCAGCAGTATTTGAAAGATCATTCTTTGTTCTTCTATAACTGCATTCATTGTTTGTTAATTCTCCGTTACTGGTGTGAACTAATCTAGACTGAGTGATCGTGTGAACCCCCGATCTGACACAAATTTGGTGGTGCTTTAAAAGAAAGAGAGAAAAGTTGCCCATAGAATCTTCCTATAAAGTCTGACAGCAAGGATGCCATATATACGAGGATACCTATACCTAGATCTCAAACCCCCTTACTCTGGAGCAACCTTTGCCCAAATCCCCGCTGAAGTTTAAGGATCTCCTCCTTCTGGAGTAAGCAGGGCAAAGGACTGCCAGTGATCACATGCGGAAAACCAGAAACGTACAGAGTAGCACACAGGCACACCCACACATATGCAAACACACATCACATACTGCTTGAAGTATACAACAAGCGTGTGTTTATATATGTTTACCTATATCCCCATCAGCTCCGTTGTATATAGGTACAAAAAACCTCCACGCTGAACAAATGTTGAACATATCTACATACAGATATGTATTCACACACACACACACACACACACACACACACACACTTTATAAAATCAGAATCAAAGGTGACGGAAGAAATAGCAGATGCGTGAATGGGTAAGGGAAATGAGAGTTTGGAGGTGGGGGGAAATCACCGTTACCCACCCCAGTAGGAAAGTTGTATGGAGGACCCTTTTGTTTAAGAGAGTGAACCCTGGGGAACAGAATTGCAGGTGGAACTGGGCGGGGCCTAAATGGATAGGATCCTGAGCATTACAGAACAACTGGGCTTCCTCCCTCTAGAATTGCATTATTTCCTCTAACCAGTCTGGAGTCATTCCACGCTAAAGGTCACCTTCCACAGCCAAGAGGGTTGGATAATTTCCATCGCCGCTTCTGGCTACTTATTCCCATGTGGGTGACTCCTCAAAATTTCCACATTCAATGTGTTTTGAAGCCTGAGGCATCCACGGCTGGCACTTTGGGGGCTGCCCCATATCTGCCCCCCAGTCTGGATTAGCAGGCTCAGGTATCAGGAGGAAATTCTTGGGACATTCAAAAAGGTGTGCACACCTAGCTGTAACTGCTAGCGCATCGACAGGAAGTGAAAAAGTCGCGAGGGGATCAATGGCAGGGGTAGCCCATGAAAGGTTGGTGGTGGGGGGCTTTGTGCTTCCCTGACCTCTGTCCCTCACAATCTAGGAAGACCATCAAATGTAGAGCCCACTTCACTTTACACTGCGGCCATGGGAAACGGAAGACGCTTCCAGCGAAGAACAGGTCTGTATGGACCTTGCCATCTTTGATAACTGGTGTGTTGAGGAATTCCTCAACACACCAGGAATTCCACACTGAGAACAGGAGCCCAAGAAAGAATGAAGTGCCCTTTTGTCGGCCCAAATGACCCAGCCGGAAAGGAGGCTGCCCAATGCATCTCTGTATGCTCACTACTCGGGCTTTGTCAAATCAACCAGGAATGGGGCATTTCTGCTGAGTCTCTGCATTGGGAGGGACTGGATGATGCAATGACGGTCAAGACAGAGACTTAGTAAACTGGCTTCCCCTCAAAGGAGGCAGAACAGGGATTTATGCAAAAACACCGGGTTGGGGTGGGGGACACTTCTTACACGCTCTCAAACATCTCAGACGTAAGAATGCTCCCGAACATTGAAAAACACTGCCCTACATGTTCCTAGAGAAATGTTACATTCTGGAGAAAATAATTTTCATGCTATTCTTTAAAAAAATAATAATACTATTTTCCCCCCAGAATGGTAACTCCACAACACAATCTACTCATATTATAATTGGATCGTTGGTACTCACTCCAGGTAATTCCAGATCTACAAAAGCCTACCAAGAAGCAGCTAATGTTCTACTACAAAATCTAATCATTGGGTGTGCTTTTTCTCTCTCTTCTTCTCCTTTTAAATAGAGATGCCATTTAAAGGAGCAAACGTCAACCGAGCGCTCCTGAAAAGGATGCATAGTTTGGGTGCTAAGGTTGCTGGCGCAGTTTGCATTGCTCATTTTATTTTCTCGGAAAGGCAGAAAGCTATTTCACTAAACTCGACACAGGGGCACAGTATTACCTTACTCCGGAATACTGCTCCACCTTTGGTAAGTGGGTTCTTAAATACTGCAGCACATTTGGCAAGGGTCAGAGTGTGGCTTCTTCTAATCGCATCAGGTGCCGTTGTTTTCTGCTAAGGATACAGCATCATTAGGATACTCTAGCGATGGAATACTGTTACACAGGGGCGTGAATTTTAACACAAATAGGCCAATGGGATAATAATACTTTGCCAGTTTTTAAGAGCTGGGTAATGCGACTGTAGCATGGCCAGAGTATGCTTTCAGGGCGATCAGTACCTTAGCACTGCTTCTTATTTCACAGGCACTGATACAACCGACAGTTAAGCTATACACTGTGCATAATTAGTTCTGTGCATGGAGTTTTGATATGGATATGCCTTTGCTTTTGCATTCAGGTGGGTTTGGGCTTTGGGTCTCTTTCCGCATGAGCGACGCTTTGTGCATGCAGAAATTGACCTGAAGATCCTCCCAGGACTTCCGTCTTCCTAGCCTGCGGTAGGTTCTCGTGCTGGTCTTCATGCACAGAAGGCAGAGCGAGGGATCGCCTCTCGTTTATGGCAGCCAGCGAGATCCCACAGCAGCCTAGCTGCTCAGTGTAGATAATGGAAGGTCACGGAAGATGATCACTGGGTCAAGGCAATGCGGCTGAGGGAACAGGGCAGAGGAATCAAAACAAGTAAAAAAACAACAACCCAGATCCAAAGGCTGTGATCCCAAGTACATGTACCTGAAAGCAAGAACCACTTCACACATTCAGCAGAACCATGTGGTAAAGCACTTCGTGTGCCAAGCTGGGCTGTGGGTGGGGGGCAACTGGAGTTTTCAGCGCTCCAAAACTTCTTGCCAAAGAGAAAACAAGCATGTTTCAGGGAGACAGCTAGGTTGACTCTTTACGAGGCTTCCGGACTTGAGAAGAAGGGTTTGTTATCAAACACACAACCCCCTATCTCTAATTTGAAATGGTCCAATGAAAGCTTTCCCTCCTGATTCTGCTGAAAGGTAGAGACTGCCCTTAAGAACCACTATAGGCGGGGGAACAACACACTCCGCAAATGTCCCAGAAAAACCGAGGCATCCTTTTTTTTCTCTCATGAGAGAATGGCAGCCATTTTGGGTGCCATGGTCTCGCACAATTTTGTGCCATGATTTCCCCCTGAACAAAAAGCACGATCACAGCGGCAACCCCAAAATGCAAGGTTTGGCGGGGGGGGGGATCATGGCGCGAGATCACGACGCCCAAAACGGCGGCCGTTCTCTCACGAAAAAATATGGGAAGATGGTGTCCTTGTTTTTGCCTTCAAGGTGTTGGAAGGTATGGGCCAAATGATGTTGCATGGAATGCTATCAAATGCCTGCTGTATGAATTAAGCCTGTTCTAGTTGATGCATTTGGGATCAGCCTTCAAGGGAACCAATTGCCATATAAGTCTACACTACTGGAGCATCAGCTGACAACTTTAGTATAGTTGAGGCTATTTTCTTCTATTTTGCTACTGATGGTAGCAACAACCTTACTGTTTTATTTTATTTTAGTTCCACGTTGAACTGCAGGGAAGAAACCCTGACAGTCCTTCTCCATCAAGTCTGGAAAACTGGAATGTTATTAGAAAAATGAACAAGCCTTCTACTGCTGCCCGTGCCCCTTTCGTTAACGGCTGATTTCTGGCAGTGGATTACTAAGACAGGCGTCTCTGTTTCTGATTCGAAATCGCTCAGAGCTGAACTGCATGTTCAAAACCACCACATCCAGCAAGACCCCCCTGGAGCCATACCATCCATGTCAGCATGCAAGTGAGGGGGCTAGGTTCTAGAAGGTTCTCCTCCTGTCAGAATCTCTCTGAAAACAGAAAACGAGCACACCCAGGAGGAGATGAGGTTAAGCTGAAACCTATAAACTAGTTTTCCATTGGCAGGGAGAGTTTTTTGGGTTTTGTTTTTTTAATGAAGAAGAATTCAAAATGTGAGAACTCCCCTGCAGTCTGACATGGTACACTCTGCATTTTGTGGGACATTTCTAAACAAGCACTGCAGCCCCAGAGGTGGCATTTTTGGCCCACAAAGGGCCAAGGCAGATGCGACATTAGTCATGTGGTGAGCCGGGGCGTGGATGATATTTGAAAATAAACATAAATACTCACTGGGCCAGATAAGGACTATGGCAATGGTTTTGAGTGGAACTGCCCTGCTCCCCACGTCTCTGCAGTGGGAGGGAAGCACCCACTGGTCGCTGGTCTTTCGTCCCACTGCAGAGAGCAGGCCTTCAAGGCACCTGATTCCAGTGGAGATGGTGGCAGCAGCAAATGGTTAAAGCTCCTACTCCACAGCCCCGATCATCCTCTGACACCCCCCTTCCTACTAATAGCTATTTATGATTTTTAAAAAACATCATGCACACCAGGACAAAGTGTACGACTAACATCACCTCTAGTTGTGGTCCTAATTTGAAGCCCAGAAGAGTGTTGTTTGCTCTGGTTTTCTTTTATTGCCAGATACAAATGAACGGAATTAATAATCCAGTCCTATGTGCAATTAATAATCCAGTCCTATGTGGGATAATGGCAGAGTGGCTGGTCACAGTCATGAGCTCGCAGTAGTTCAGAATTCTATTTTCTGGCGCATCTTGAAACAGGGCGACTGGACGCCACAGTCTCTGTTTTCTAGTCTTGGGTACATTCGCATCACAGGTTTTGAGGTAAGAGAGGAGCAAATGCTGCGGCCTTCCTGACGGCTCGACGCGGGAGCATTCCCTTTCCTAGCGCCCCTAAAACAGATTCCTGGCTGCTGCAAATATTGCTTGATAATACTGTGCTGATATGTGAGCTTTGACACGTTGCTTGCTCCCCGCTGATATGGCAATCTTTTAAAAAGGCGGTCGTTATCAACGCACCAATTTAACGTGGCCGTAGTCCACACTGAGTGTCTTTGGAAGCTAGAGCAGCAGGAACTTTTGGATGCAACGATTCGATTTACTGCTACCCAAGTGACCTGGAGCGCCATGATAATCCTTGAAATCTGAGGGGCTGATCCAGTTAGTCTCTTACACATGCTGCCAGGCATGGGCAGCTCTCTGACAGCGGCAAGGGATGGGGTTGGGGCCTGTGGCAGGAAAGTTCTGTCTGTGGAGCCACACACAAGGTGGGGAAGACGGACGGACAAGGAAGAAGATGCAGCAGATGAACAGATTGTGCCCTGAGAATTGACTCAATTTTTCCAGGTACCTAAGAATGAAAACTTCAGGGTTGTTGTTGTTGTTGTTTGTGTGTCTCTGTGTGTTTTGGAATACAGTCGAACTTAATCCATTCCGGGAGTCGAAACGGTTCAAAAACCAAGGTGTGGCTTCTGATTGGCTGCAGGAGTTCCTACAGCCAATCGGAAGCTGTGGAAGCCACGACGGACGTTCGGCTTCTGAAAAGCATTTGCAAACCGGAACACTCACTTCTGGGTTTGCGGCGTTCAGGAGCCAAAATGTCCGAGTACCAAGGCGTTCGAGAACCAAGGCACGACTGTACTTGCAACAAATGCTACTTTTGGAAACGCCTGTTTTCCCCAAGGTTTCCCATTGCTAGATATGAAAAGGGAGTGTCTGTCAGTTGCGTGAGGTGTACCGTTCACCATTCCCTTTCTACAGGCAATGAGGGGGAACCTGAACACGGACCCTACCCCTGCGTGCAACAGAGTATGTTCCAAACAGCTGTGCGCTAGATCGCGGCCCTCGCTAGTGCCTAGTACTCCAGCATTAATGCTTCCGCCTATTCCCCCCCTCTCCCTTTCAGGTATCTCTCCTGTCCTAGCACTTTAAACAAGGGCCCGTTTAGAGATGACTGCCCGATTCGTGGCCGGGTCCTTTCCCACGCTGAGACGGGAAAAGAGCTCCACAAACCATTTCTTCCCTCAGGGTTAACCATTGATATGAAGGGGGAAATCGCCGGGGTGGGCAGGAATTACACGTTTTGGAGCATGGTGGAGGGGAGGGGGAGAGGAGGTGCGGTTACGAGACACCCGGTTGAGGCCCAGAATCTCTGGAAATTCTGGTCAGAACCCTGGTGTCCAGCAAATGAGTAAAAATGGATGAGAAAGATGATGCTGAACAACAAACTTAGATTTGCTGACCCGATAAAGTTGTTTTTATCTATAGGTAGCTGGAACATGTGCTGTTATATCCACTGCATGTACAATTTTTAAATTATTATTATAATATTATTATTATTATTTTTGCTTTAATTTACAACCCAAGCGTGCCCCCAATGGAGGAGGCCAGTACTATACCGAGAACCACACAACAAATTATAATCATAATTTTCTTCTACATTACCCAAGAAAATCCACGGAGCAATACGGAAAAGGAGAGAGAGGAGGGAGGGGAGGAAAGAAAGACAAACGGGCATTAGTAACAGGCTGTGGTAGGCGAGGCGTTGAGTCTCAAACTGTGGGCCGCCATGTTGTGCACTCCTGCACAGTACACAATCGAAGCAACACATTTTCAGCAAGATACAAGTGGCTGTGATGCAAGGGAAGCCCAGGAACTGACTGGTGGCTGTAGACCCACCAAACCAGCCTTCCCTGACCTGTCATCCTCCAGCTGTTTTGGACTACAACACCCAGGCTGGCTGTGGCTGATGGGAGTTGTAGTCTGAAATCATCAGGTTCGGGAAGGCCTACACCAGGCCATGCACGTGAGTTTGAGTGGCAGCCACCAGAGAATGGACCAGGGCAGAGCTATCCATCACAAATGGTGTTTGATATCACCAACCAACACAGCAACCAAGAAGTAGACTCCCTTCCTCTCTTTGAATGCCTCCTCAAAATCTTTAATTTCCATCTTGGCCTTTGGCCATCCTGGCTGTGGCGCAATGGGTCAGTGCGTCTGGCTATTAACCAGAAAGTTGGTGGTTCGCGTCCGCCCAAGGATGGCTGTGGACAGGATTCCTGCCTTGCAAGGAGTTGGACTAGATGACCCTCAGGGTCCCTTCGATTCTATGACTATCCCCTTTGTCCTCATTCCCAACCACCATCAGGTTTTCAGTACTTGCCACTGCGTTCCTCCATAGGCCAGCCTCCCTTCTCTCTGCACTTGTCAGCTTCCCCCTTGCCTATTATAGAACGAAAGTTCGTTCCCACCTCTCAGGCTCTGTAAGTTGCCATCAAGGCTGATGGCTTGGTATCAGACATGGGCCTGGGGAGGGTGGAGAGGATCTGGCTGGTGAGCAAATTCCTTATCTCCCTCACTCCGCATAGGACAAGTTTTATGGGTGGGTGGGGCTGCCCACCTGTCAATCACCTGATATAACAATGATGTCAGCTGACCACTTTTGACCCACATGGTCTGAAACCAAGCTGTGCAGGTAAAGGCAAAGGCATGAGGCTGTGATTGCTGGGGTTTGCAAAGCGTCACCAACACAACTACTAGGCAACCCTTGGCGATTCGCCAATTGGTACCTCCAAACTCAACACTGCCTGTAACCCCCCCTTTCAGACTTTGTTGTCTAAAACATCTGGAGGGCAGCAGGTTGCTGAAGCCTGTTGTGATCCACAGGCCAACATTTCTGATAAATGTGTGATTTAGGATTAGTACACAGATTTTAATCAAGGGCTCCTTGCAAGAGCCCATGTTGATAGCCTTATTGTAAAAGGACTGTATTCATAGATTCCTTTAAAAACAACCTTAATCCCAGTTCTGTCCCTATGATAATTGTTAACTGTTTTAATTCTCCAGTGTCTGTGTGCATAAAATTTTGAGAGTTGCATATAAAAATGCCTGCAAGGAAGGTCAATCAAGGGGCAGGATGCAAGGGAGAGGATTTTCCTAATTCTGGCCACAAATCTATGAAACTCTTCACCTGTTTATACATGACCAGCCCTTTCTATTCAGGTTTCTAAATGAGCTTTTTCTTCTTGTAAAAAAAACTTACTCATTCCAACATGCGTTTCCTTGATGATTTCAGGTTGATGCTGTGGAAATGTATTTTTAAATCTTTCGGCCGAGAGCTATAATGAGCTCTTAACTGCTGTCAGTTTGTGGTGTTTAAAATAGTTGCTCGATTTTATAAACAGTTATGTTATGTACTGTCAGATGACTTGCAAGAGAGGCAACCTAACAATATTATAAGGAATAAATAAGGAAGAGAGGGGAAAGAAACCCATTTGGTTCAGTTACCACAGGGGTGGGGAAGCTATAGAAATTTAATTTTAAAAAACCAAATAAATAAATTTCAGGCTGAGGGCCACATTTCCTCATGGACAGGCTTCTGGGGGCCACCCGTCAGCAGTGGGAGGGGCTAGAGGCAGAAGTGGGAGGGGCAAGACCTACGACTCTTACCTGTCTACAATTGCCTACATGCCATAAGCTAGAGTTTTCTACACAACATGGACACACAACTCACTCCATCCAGGGAAGCAAGAAACAATTGTCGCAGTTCAATGACACATTCCAGGCTGGCAGAAGCAGTCAAAGAGAGAGTGATGCATGGTCAGTGAGGGGCATGAGCGGCCTTGCGAGACTCCTGAGGGCCAGGGCAGATAGGCCTGGAGGGAATTCTCCACCCCTGAGTCACCATCATTTCCATTTAAAAGGGTTTCGGTTAGTATGGCTGTGAAACTCCTCCTTCTGAAGCGTTGGAGTCAGAGGAGATAGTACCAAAAAAGAAGAAGAAAAGGTCTGGTTCCAAGTAAGGCAGTTTCACTTAGGTTCAAAATTATAGTCATACCTTGGAAGTCGAGTGGAATCCATTCTGGAAGTCCATTTGACTTCCAAAACCAAATTGCGGCTTCTGATTGGCAGCAGGAAGCTCCTGCAGCCAATCAGAAGCTGTGGAAGCCCCATCAGACGTTTGAGTTCCAAAAGAATGTTCAAAAACCGGAACAGTCACTTCTGGGTTTGTGGCGTTTAGGAGCCAAAACGTCCGAGTTCCAGGGAGTTTGGGATCCAAGGTACAACTGTATGTGGCAAATATGCCACAGAAGCCACTGTGCCCACTTTATTTTTCGCTCCCAAAGAATCTGGAATCCATAGATAATTTCCTAATTGTGGAGATTTTCTCTTAGATCTCCCCTTCTTCTGAACTCGGCTTGACTCCTCAGTTTTACGATCTCAGCCCTGCCTTCTCCAACACATTTTACTCATTCCAGGTTCTTGACTGCCTCTCGCGCCTAGAGGGAAAGATTAGCCCCTCTCTGCCTTCCTTGCCCCGTGTCCCAACCGCTCCTACTTACCCTCCGAGCCTTGCTCTGGTATTTTACAGCTTTCTTGGTGTCAGAGACGGCTCTTTCCACGTAATCAACGGAGTGCTCGACATTGTATTCAATGCGGTCAATCATCTCCCCCTGAAATGGTAGAAAGCGGCGACTTGTGAAGGTAAGGCGAGTTAATTCGGTCAATGGCTATGGCTGATAATCTGATCATCCTGACCCTTTCCTCCAAGGTTAACATATCCACAACAACCCTGCGAGGCTCAGGACAACAACTAGCCAGAAACAATTCAATGAGTTTTTATGGCTCCATGGCTTTTGAACCCAAGTCTTTCCCAGTTAAAGCCCAAACCTCTGCGCTCATTGATTTGGTTTGTACATGTTTCATGTGAAGTACTCCACACACAAAATAACTCCCAGCCAAGGTTTAACTTGAGCAAAGGGATACAAACATGAAATCCTAGTTGGGGGCAGGGGGGGGGTTTGGCTGTCAGAGCTCAGCTTGGAAAATGTGCTTCTGAACATGTACAAAGTTTTCTTTCTTAGCAAAGAGGAGCCACTGAGAATACAGGCCAAAGAGGAGCCACTGAGAATACAGGGCAAGGTGTGTGTGTGTGTGTGAGAGAGAGAGAGAGAGAGAGAGAGGGAGAGAGAGAGAGAGAGAGAGAGAGGGAGGGAGGGAGGGGGAGAGGGAGAGGGAGGGAGGGAGGGAGAGAGAGAGAGAGAGAGAGAGAGAGAGAGAGACGTTTCCAGGTGACTGAGCCCTGAGACTTCTCATTTTAGAATTTTAGAATTACAGATACTGAAGCTATTATACTGAATCACGGAGATCCCTCTGCACTGACTTCTGAGGGGTGTGTGTGATGAAGTCTGTCGTCCCCAATGAAACTATTGTATTTATTTACTTATAAGCAAGACCTAGAACTGCTGTGTGGAGTGATCCTGTTCAAGATTCCAGATTTTTATTTTTGCCTTTTTTATGATCACTGCCAGCCATTTTGCTTCCGATGGTGGGAGCACCCGTGGACGAGCCTCATATGGAGACCCCAGAAACGCAGGTGGGTCAATGATGGAGAATGTACCGGGGTCCTAAGCCATGCAGGGTGTTAAAGGTAAGGAATAGGGAGCCACTGGAATTGGTTTCCAAGCGGGGTATGATATGATCCCATCTCCTGGTCCCTCTCCGTTGTCTAGCAGCTGCGTTGTGAACTGACTGACTTACACAGCGTCTTCAAGGACAGCTCCACATTGACCCTGCGGCCGTACCTGGCTCTCCACCAACATAGCCATGTCCACAAACATGTCATGAAGCTCCCGGATGCTGGTTTCCAGTTTGATAATCTCGTTGTGCCGGGTTTCGATCTCGTTCAGGGCCTGCTTCGTCATCTGTGAGTCCATTTTGATCTGAGGGAAACAACACGAGTCAAGACGAAAGAAAGACAGAAAGACAGAAAGACAGACAGAATTCTGCACTAAGGAAAACTCCTGCACTCCAATGCCCCCACAGCCCTCTGGGGAAGCCTTCATCCCACATTTTGAATAAACAATGGAAATTGACAAGCAGTGATACGGATTGAAAGACAGAACCACATAGACTTGTTAAATGCGGCTGTTGTCCTAAGAACCACAGCTTCTGTTGTTGTTGTTGTTGTTGTTAAAAGTTGTATACCACCCTATACCTGTAGGTCTCAGGGTGGTTCACAACATAAAGTTACAATATAAAAGCACAAAATACATGATAGAAATAATTAAAACAATTAACAGTACTATAATGTATACAAACTAATAAAAAGTACACTCCCAACAAAAGCCCCTAAACAATACCCCGGTATACAAATTAACATAAAACATTTGAAAACAATTTTAAAGAACCACCCCCCCAAAATAAAACAGCATCCACCCAAGTTAGAACAATGGACCAAAGAGATTAAGAGAAGGAACCCGGAGACCCTGCTTCTTAAATGTTAAGAAATGGTGGCAAACTTCTATTCCCTATGACTATGAAGGGAAGCAGGGAAGAACAGGGCATTGTAATATCAGTGGTTGGGGTTTCAGCATCCTGCCTGACATTCTGCCCCTCCTTGAACCTGCTTACTTCATTCCCAGTCCGACCCATAAATTCCAAGGACCCCAGCGCAGTTTCCTAGCAGAGCACCCCAACCCTGTCTTTTCCTAAGCTTGGAACCACAAGACGGCCATGTCTGACATGCTTGTGAGTGCTTCTGGGATACGTACGTCATCGGTGAAGATTGCCAGCTTTCCGCTCTCCAGCATGTCTTCTAGCTCCTCGTTAGTTGTTGTCCTGCCAGCTGCACAAAGGGAAGACCAAAGCCATGATGAATTGCCACACTTTATAATACAGTCCCCACCATCACCTTATCGCTTCAACAAAGCATTCGCACCCTGGCCTCCCAATGAGGAAACTGGCATATTGTTTGTTTTGATCTCCTTGTTTCCAGTTCATGTAAAAGTGAGCAGGCTCCCGTCCACCAGCGAAGCGTGCAACTGCCGGCAAGAGGGTGGCAGGAGAATATGCTTTTAGGACAGCCCAGTGGTGTAGCGTGGGTTGCTAGCAGCTGGGGTCGTGTGGAAGGGAGGGAAACGGACTGAGTACGGATGTGCAGTCAACTGCCTAATGGCGTCCGTGTCACTCAGGAGATCGCAGTCTCAGAGATAAGAAAAGAAGAGTCGCTCTGTTGTCTGGAGAGGTCACTTCCTGGTTTGCATGGAGAAGCCGTTTTCAACGGAGCCCAGCAATGGAAGCAGGAAGCTGCATCAGACCCTCCACGTATCTTTATTTTCCAGGGACAGTCCCGGATTTACAGAAGCCGTCCCAGTTTCTAATTTGACCCCAGAATGTTCCTATTTTCATCAGAGAAATGTTGAAGGGTATGGACTTATGCAATCCCTGAGCCAAGGAGGTAAGTAGCTGTGCAACCTTTAGAAAACATCTGAAAGCAGCCCTCTATCGGGAAGTTTTTAGGGCAACCCAGTTAGATGGATGAAGTATAGATAATGAAATAATAATAATAATAATAATAATAATAATAATAATAATAATAATTGAATAGGATGAAAGCACCTAGCTATAGACAGCAGCTCTGCCTTTTAAAAACCCACAGTGGCTACTTGCCCCTATGAGGCAAAGGCAGCTGCTACAAAAAAACAGCCGCAACGAAGTATAACTGAGGATGGGTTGGTGTGTGGCAGCTCCTCGCACTTCAGTGTTCACGCCTGCTCGAGGTTGTTGTGTGAGCCCAGCCCCCTGATCTCAGATAATAAGAGGCCAGCGGCCATCACAAGGCAGTGAGGAAAAGCCACTCTGCATGTGCTCGGTAGCACTCTAGTCTTCATCATGGAGACCAAAGCTATCAGTGGCTACTATATGTTCTGCCTCCACTGTTGGAGGCAAGATACCTCGGAATGCTAGTTGTCAGGAATCGCATGTGTGGAGAGTTGTCCTCAGGCCCTAACATAGGGTAAAGGTAAAGGGACCCCTGACCTTTAGGTCCAGTCGTGGATGACTCTGGGGTTGCGGCGCTCATCTCGCTTTATTGGCTGAGGGAGCCGGCTTACAGCTTCCGGGTCATGTGGCCAGCATGACTAAGCCACTTCTGGCGAACCAGAGCAGCGCACGGAAACGCCGTTTACCTTCCCGCCGGAGTGGTACCTAAGATACTTGCACTTTGCCGTGCTTTCGAACTGCTAGGTTGGCAGGAGCAGGGACTGAGCAATGGGAGCTCACCCTGTCGCAGGGATTCGAACCGCTGACCTTCTGATCAGGAAGTCCTAGGCTCTGTGGTTTAACCCACAGCGCCACCAGAGTTGCCATATTCTGAAAAGTGAATATCCGGACAGAAAAGGCTGTTGAGCTTTTTTTTTGCCACACATCCGGATTTTTCTGGAAATTTTGCCAAGATCCCAAAGGACCAGAGGAAAGTGTTTGTGTACGCTACAACGGCCGCTCGGATGCTACTAGCCCAGAGATGAAACAAAGAGATAACCCCGACCAGAGAAGAATGGCAAATCAAGTTGATGGAATATGCTGAAATGGCAAAACTAACCGGGAAGCTCGGGAATCAAGAAGACAAGAAATTTAAAAAAGAATGGGAAATGTTTATAATGTATATACAAAATCATTGTAAACAGGTCAAAGCATAAGCAGGATTTTAAAGACACATGTAATGTAACAGAACGTATAGATAATTTAGGAAGATGAAAAATGGGAGAAGTATTGATATGCAGTTGAAAATAGAATCAATAGGATGGGATGGGGGCAGAGTCAGGAGATTCAGAGTAATCTTGATAATTAGTAGATTGGGAATTGTTTTTCTTGTATGTTTATATTTTGGAAAATCAAATAAAAATTTGTTTCAGGGAGAGAAGGGGGGGCAGGCCTTTGGCCTTATATTTCAGCTCTTTCCTCACTAGTTACTGGATGAATGCAATTGTAGGATCACAGAACTGCAAAATTGGAAGGGACATCAAGGGTTATTCTGACCACCCCCAGACAATGCAGGAATCTCAGCTAAATAATCCCTGACAGAAAGCTACCCGACATGAAGGAGAGTCCTCCACCTTCCTAGATCGCCGGAGAGTTCAATATTTAGGGGAAAACGTACCTAACAAGCCAGACCTAAGGAGGGAAGGCAGGAAATATATACAAGAAAGAGAATTAACGTACTTATCTCCAGCTGCCTCTGGATACGGTCCTTGCATCGGTCTCGATATTTGGACTGGGTTGTGTTGTATTCCGTCATCACCTCCACGAACTTGCGGGAAAGGGTTGAGTGCTAGGCAGTGAAATGGGAAGTCAGTCATGTTGGGGCAGAGAGGAAGTCACCAAAGAGAGCGGGCCGTACCCCTCATTCCCTCCGCTCCCCTGTTTCAATTTAAGACCCATACCTATTGATCACAGACCTTTGGAATGGTGTGTGTGGTGTGTGGGAGGGGAAATTGTTACGCAAATGAGCTAAAGCTTCTGGCTGGCTACTGTGAGAACAGAATGCTGGACTGGATGGGCCATTGGCCTGATCCTGCAGGTCTCCCCCCAGGGTTTAGATGCATGGATTTAAAAACAATTTGGTCAGCTAAATGGGCCCCCCAATTAACCAGAAAGTTTCTTTAAAAAACAAAGCATGCAATTTATTTTAAATATAGGTACTTTGGGGATGAGGGTGGGGGAAGAAGAAGGAGAAATAAGGCAAAATCCAATATATGTGACGAAGACAAGTACCTGCGTTTTCCGGATCCGCAAGTCAGCCGAGGATCGGTTCTGCACCTCTTCCTGCTCGATTCCCTGCTCAATCGCTGTAGAGAGGACAAGGGCAAAGAGATCAGGGCAGCTTTAGCAGAGAATAAAGAACTGGGTCAGAGCCTGGAGTTTCTGGGTTCTTCTTCTGCTGCCTCTAGTGGTGAGCTGCCATGTTGCAGGTTCAAAGCTACCTAAGGGCTAGGACAGGAGCCGGCAACCTAAGGCCCATGGGCCACAAGCGGCCCATGGAGGTCGTTTAACTGACCCATGGACCCCCACCGCCCCGCTCGGCCATGCACCACGCTAAAACAGCACGGAGCAGAGCGGCGACCACCTTCCGCAATGCTGTCCGGCTTCCCATTGGCTTGCGATGGTTTGACCTCTTTTCCGTTTTAACAGTACAAATTCTACAAACGCCCTCCATATCTCCTCAGAATCATTTCTCCTACATATTCCCTGACCTACTCTATTCTGAACTTAAAAATGGAAAGCGTAATGCTGGTGGTCAACAAAAGAGGTTTAAAGATTGTCTCAAGGCAAATCTGTAGTATAAACCCTGACAATTGGGAAACACTGGCCTGCAAGCGCTCCAGTTGGAGAACAGCCTTTACCAAAGGTGTCATGGGCTTTGAAGACACTCGAACTCAGGACGCAAGGGAGAAACGTGCTAAGAGGAAGGCACAGTTGGCAAATCCACACCATGATCAACTCCCGCCCAGAAACCAATGTACCCACTGTGGAAGGACGTGTGGGTCCAGAATTGGCCTCCACAGTCATTTACGGACTCATTGTTAAAACCATGTTTATGGAAGACAATCTTACTTGGCTACGAGTGATCGCCAAAGATAAGAAAGGAAAAAGAAGAATGGCACATGTTAATTAATAGCTATATCCCACACCTCTTTATACCATTCTTCCATTATATAGTCTGCTTGCCCCTGCCACTTCTTGGCTATAATAATTTGTGCAGCTCTCAATAAGTTTGTGAGCAAGTCCTCCATAGCCTGCGAACCTTCCACTCCATCGTAAATGGATTGCAATGCTACCTCTGGACTTTCGGTCATATATATATATAATAACTCTATGTTGGGGAGACCCAGCTCTTACCTTTCAACTTGGAGCGCACCTTGTTGGCAGTCTTCTTGATGTCAGCTGTGAGATCCTCCAGTTCCTGCTTGGTCTCTACAAGGAAAATGAAAAAATAAATAAATGGGGGGGGAGTGTTCTGACAGCAGACCCGGGAGATGATTGAACTGTGTCCGTTCCCCCACATGCATTGTTTGCCTTCATCCTTGCGCAGGATCTAGAGAGAGAGCCTTGCGCACCCATCTCGGGCAAAATCACGTGTGGCACGGGGCGTGTGCAAGCGCCATGGGACAGCATCACTAGACGTGGGCCTCTGGGTGTTCCACTCACTCTCATCTGGGTTCGGGGCAGCCAAGATGGCACTGTGCTGCTTCTTCACCAGTTCCACATCTTCCGAGAGTTTCTCAATGCAGCCGCGGATCTCCTCCACCTGGGGAAAGACAGGGAGGCAAGAAGCGAGCATGGGACCTCCCTCCTGTTGTGGTTCCTTGAACGCCCACCACTAAGTAATAGATACGGTGACCCAGGGCTGCCACGGTCAATACGGGTCCTCTGTGCTGCATTTAGCCAATCGTGGAGCCACAGAACTCTTAAGGTTGGAGGAGATTCCATGAAGGAGCCACAGAGGTGGGAAAAGGAGAGGGCGATACACAGGCCTTGTTTCCACATTCCGCCTGAATGTTGCCATGTGCAGAGCGAGAGCATCAGGCAGGAGGGGGAAGTACCTCTGGCACCATCAACGCCCTGATCAACTTAGGTCCAGGGTACCTCAGGGACTGCTTGAACCCTATATCTCAGCTCAACCACTGAGATCATCTGCAGTAGTGTTAATGGTTGTTCCCTGAGTTGGTGAGGCTTATTTCACAACAAGGAACTGAGATTTTGGTGCCATAGGGCCAGGATCGTGGAATAATCTGCCAATGGAAATACAGTGGGCAACTTCTGCTTAATTTTTTAAAATAATTAATAATATAACTGTCCATAATATTTAACTGATTTAAAGTTTTTTTTTAAAAAAATGCTCTTTATTGCATTGTTTTATGTACAATTGTGTAAAACCGCTCTGATTTTTTTAATTAATGAACAACAGTATATAATTTTTTTTTATAAATGAATAAAAACAAATATTTCTTTGCACTGACAGTTTTGCTACAGTTCACTGAGACTATGATCTCTTTGTCAGACTGTAATACAATAACATGCAATATAAGAAATAAACAAATCAGCCAATTAAAAAAGGGAATAGGAATATTTAATGCAGACATGTCACAGAGCAGCTGAATGAAGCTTGGGGACTTCTGGCGGTCCATGAACTACAGTTTGGGAAACTCTGACTTAAATGTTCCCTAAATACCTTTTTGTCGGTCTGATAGAGTAGTTTTCCTCAGTTAAGTGCCTGTAAGCCCTCAGCATGGCCACCAGAGAGCACTGTGCTGAAGAAAGGAGTTGAAATACGGGGCCCGGAGGCAAACTACCAGGAGACGCTCTCCAAGGTCCTGAAATCTGCAGCCGACTCGCCCACGACAGACAATAGCTTTGCTGGTGCCCCTCAATCAATCATCACAAATCCTGGGCCCGCCCTGGCTTCCCTCATGCAGCGGAATCACAGTTTCAGGTTCGGTGGGACAGCTGCATATTCCTCAGGGTCCCTTCCAAGTCTACAGTTCTATGATTCTATGTTGGAATAGAGCGCAGCTTTCGAACTCAGGTCTGCCTCACTTGTGTATAAAGAGGGGTGTGAACTAAGAGGATTTGTAGGACATATAGAGTTCATGGGTATAAGAATCTCCACCCATTGTTTAACTCCCCCAGAGTTTCTCCCCCTGTGGTCTTTTCCTCCCGCACAGATCCACTTACAGAGCTAGCGCACAGCTGAGGGAAAATGACTTCATAAATGAGGTTCCAGGGAGGCAGCCACACACTTAGCAGCTCTCTTTGGGGGAAGCTGCCAGTCTAAGCAGGAGTTGGCCAGGCCCAGGTCTTAAATAGATGGGTCTTCCACTATCATATGTAACCTGAGCCCAAATGTCCACAAATTGATCCAGTGTGGTGTAGTGGTTAGAGGCTCAGACTAGGACCCGGGAGGCAAGGGTTCGAATCACTACTCTGCCATGTAGCTTGCTGGGTGACTTTGGGCCAGTCACTGCCTGTAAACCTAATCTATCTCTCAGGGGTGTTGTGGGGATTAAATGAGGGAGGGGGACACACACATGTACACCGCCTGGAGCTGACTGGAGAGAAAAGGGGGGCCACAAAAGCAATAAATAAGATTGGATCGTTAATTACGGGTCTCACTGGTAACTAACTCCCTGGTGAGCGCTGAGGCTGATAAGAATCCAGGCACCCACCGGAAAAGACTGCAAGAATGTTTACAATCTTGGGTCAAAGCAACGCAACAACATTTGCTAATTTTGCATGAAATGATGCAATTTGAGAGAGGGAGGGTGAGTGGGCTGTAGGTGGTTTTTATTTTTAATAGAGCTTGGAATTCAAAGGAAAGAGAGGCAAGAGCTGTCTGAGGCATGGATTTCCTGCAAGCAGCCACATCACGCTGCAGAATTGCTTCAGAGAAACGGCAAGATTTCTCCGGGGTGTAGTGCGATGATCTCAGCCACGAGTTGCGACTTGTGAACAAGACCCAACAAGCGAACGTGGATTTCACAGTTGTGGGTGGCTGCCATCCCCGTGGCATCTCTCTGCCTCCCCCCCTCCAATCCTTCCACCTCTGACGCCTGCGCATCGCAGGGGCTGCATAGAATCATTAACAAGATGCTCTTGCATACTAAAAGCCATGCTGCTTGAATATTAATGCGCTCCGCTCTCGTGCAGATCCCAGGCACGTGTCTAAGCAGGAGTTAATTCAGGGCATGGGGGCTCGTAGGCTCCATCTCCTATGCAAAAGCAGGCTGCGAAGAAGTGGGAAGGGGAGGACCTGGAACAAGGGTGGCCACCTTCTCTAATCCTGGCAGCCATTTGGTTTCCGCACAGCGGTCTGGGAGCTGGAAGTATGTATTGCTGCACAAAACCGACCTCTTTACGGGTTCTCAGACTCTATAATGAAGCAAGAGCTCTCCAGCATGAAAGGACCTCATTGTTCAGAGGCAAATAGGCTCCGGCACGGCTGAGGAATGACGTACCAAACCCAAAACAAGAGGAAACATTAAACTGTAGAATCTCTCCCTCCCTCCCTCACACAGACACCCCTTTCGAAAACTATTTCTTTCCCTTACGCTTTGAAACCCAGGGTTGTATCCAATGCTACTCAAGAGTAGACCCATTGAAATGCATAAACACAACTAACTGAGGTTCGCTAATTTCAGTAAGTCTACTCTGAGCATAGGAGCCAACTCCTAGGGGCCGAGGTCCCTTTGGCCCTCCCAATAAAATATCTGAGGGGACCAGGGCCCCCCAAAATTGATGGGCCATTCAAATCATGTGCATGTGACACATCTTGTGATTGATTATGCAGGTCAGGGCTTACCTCCCCCCCCCAATATTTTATTCAAGTTGGCACCCCTGAATCTGAGGAAATTTAAGTTGGAGATAACCCCTAGATGGTCGCCAGCTGGTCTCCTTAAATCTGCGTCTGCCCTGATCATTAAATAATGTGTTTTGAGTGAGGGGGTTTAGTTTTCAGAGGGGGTCAAAGAGACAGACCATTGACTCCCTTGCGGTCTGTCTCTTTGACCAAGGGGGAAATGCTTCAGACGAGGGGCTGGGGGGGAGAAGAAGCAGGCAAGGGGGGAGGTTCAGCTCCCCTCCCCTCATTCCTCCTCTTTTGCTTTTGTGTGAGAGAGAGATTGGGTGAAGCCTAGGTTTAAAGAGGCTGCTATCGTGCCCTTTACAGACCTCAGAGAACTTGTTTTTTAAAAGAAATAAATGTGTTTGCTGATTGCCACATGAACAAGACAACAGTATTTACTAGTATAGTTGTACCTTGGTTGATGAACGACTTGCGAGTTAAACGTTTTGGCTCCTAAAGGCCCCGAACCCAAACATGAGTGTTCCAGTTTGCAAACGTTCTTTTGGAACCCAAACATCTGGCGCAGCTTCCTGCAGCCAATTGGAAGCCACACCTTGGTTTCTGAACATTTCAGAAGTCGAATGGACTTCCAGAACAGGTTCTGTTTGGCTTCCAAGGTACGACTGTAGTAGACATCAAGTGTTAAAACAAGTGAAGAGTATAGCCTGCAATATGCCAAATCAGCCATCCCAGTGCCATCCAGATGTTCTGTACTACAACTCCCATTGGTCCTGGACATGATGGGAGTTGTAGTTCAGAAAAACTGGAGGGTACCGGGTTTGCAAAGGCTAGCTTATAGAGCCATGGATTCCTAAGCTACCGTATATTTCAGTGCAACCTCCCTTAGGAGTGCAACCTCCCTTACTCATGGATCAAGAAGTTAAGCTTCTACAGAAAGGGGAGAGGGACCCTATGCCCTCCAGATGTTGTCGGGCTTCATTTCTCATCAGTCCAGGCCAGCACAGCCAAAGGGCAAGGATGATGGGAACTGTAGTCCAGCATCATCTGGAGTTGCCACAGGTTCTCTGCCACTGGTCAAGATCTCATGACTGTTGAGATAAGCTTCAAAATATATGGGCAAAACCTGGGGAGATGTCAGAAGCCGGAAAGGAGTATGATTACTCAAGGGGTAGGACTTGGTACAATATGTAGTGCAGCCTTCACCCCCCTAGTGTCTTCCAATTGCTCTGGACTACAACTCCCATCAGCCTCAGCCCTTATGGGAGTTGTAGTCCAAAAAAGCAGGAAGGCACCAGGTTGGCGAACGCTGTTGTAATTCAAGCAGAGCACCAGATAAATGAGAGCAGAACAACAGACCAAAGAAGAGCCCACACCAAGGTCCATGCCAGGGATGGGGGACCTGCAGCCTTCCAGATGTTAGACCACAACTCTCAGCATCCCTGACCACTGACCATGCTGCTGTGACACCGTCAAGGCTGTCCTTCCTCTTACCTGTTCGAAGAACTCATCCATGAAATGGTCTCGGTCCACGTGCACCACCTCTTCCTCATCGTCGCTGTCTTTGGCCTGCCCAAGAGACAACATTTCCACAGGTTAGGACACCCTCCTGGCTCTGTCCTCAAAGATACCCCGATGCTCTCCTCTTCTGTGTGTTTCCAAGCACACATATCATGTGGCCAATTGCCATTTCTTCACTACACAGTGAAAAGTGGGAGGGGAAACTATTTGGGGGAAAACAGCAAGCTTTTAACCTTTCCCAATTGCCCCTTCTCCCCTATTTAATCAGATGCACACAGACACTCAGCAGATTCCCCCAACCAGTATTTCAGGCCCTTGTTTATGTTGCAAATATCCATATTCCTTCCTAGGCCTCATTCTCTCCCACCCTCTTTCTCTCTGATTTGCCTCTTGCATTCACTTCATGATTCTTTATCTGTATTTCGGTAGAGCAGAGCAGCAGTTTCGCCCTAGTCCATGCGGCATCAGCAAAAGTAAAGATGCTTTGGGTGAATCCCCCTTCCTAGCCCAGTTAAGAGATGTTGCCAACCGTCAGAAAGGAAGAATTAGATAGCCCTGGTTTCTGAATCGCCGTCCTCAGCAGAAAACAAGCCAAGAAAACATGATTGAAAGGGCAAGTGTGAGACTTCACACTTCACACCCTTCAGCAAAAGTTTGTTAGGGAGAAAGGGAATGACCAGGGGAGCCAGGAAAATGCCATATATTCAGTGAGAAGGAAGAGATGGAGGAGTGTTTGTGGTTGCAACATGCTTTGGGTTCATTCCACCTCGTTTTTAATTCTGAGGCTCAGCCCTGGAATAAGCCAAGCAATAATGAAGACTTGACTGTAGCTGGCCACATGCAGAGATGTCTGCTTTGCTATGGGTTAACCACAACCAGCCCCTATTCATTTATTTTAAAAAATATTGCTAACCACCCTTCGTCAACTGATTCCTGTGGAATATACAAAAGTGTGGATAAGGCCCCTAGACATCTGGGATTAAAAACAGGGTGGTCGAGGAACATAGAGCATGCTCCCACTAGGCAAATTTGAAATGTCACAACTCACATTTTAAAAATTAAGAACTGTCTAAAACCCCAAGAGGGAGAAGTAACAGATTAATCTTCTCAAACTGGCAACGAAATCCAGGAATCATGCCTTCCTGCTCTAAGAAGCTACACCCATTTCCGGCTCCTAGAGCTGAGGAGAAAAATTGAGGGCCTGTTTTCCAGAAATGCATCCCGTTTCCTTTTGGAACTACAAGGAAAACCCAGGAGACCCAGCTCCCCACACTTCCATCCCACAAGGCCTCATTTCCGTTCCAGAGCAGAAGAGTTGAGTTAGAGAACCCAAAAGAAATACCACAAACAGTTGCTTCACGCAGGGGGGGAAACTATTTGTGGACTAGACAGGCCCAGCCTCCAAGGTTCCTTTTAACTGTGTGGTCATGATGACTTGTGTTCATGATGGCATGGGGTGGTTATTCACAATCTCACCTTCATGACTGGTTTGCAGGTGCAACAGTTTGAGGGCATACATATTGCTTTGTTTCCGGTCTCATAACTTCCTCTTGAAATCCCACAATGCTTTATTATACTGCTATATTCCGGGAAGTGTGTGTTTGCTATATCCTGCTTTGCCCCTCCAAATCATGACAATGTGACAGCGCCCAGCAAAGACTAAGGTAAAGGTAAAGGTGCCCCTGACCATTAGGTCCAGTCGTGACCGACTCTGGGGTTGCGGCGCTCATCTCACTTTATTGGCCGAGGGAGCCGGCGTACAGATTCCGGGTCATGTGGCCAGCATGACTAAGCTGCTTCTGGCGAACCAGAGCAGTGCACAGAAACGCCGTTTACCTTCCCGCCAGAGTGGTACCTATTTATCTACTTGCACTTTTTGGAGTGCTTTCGAACTGCTAGGTTGGCAGGAGCAGGGACTGAGCAATGGGAGCTCACCCCGTCAAGGAGATTCGAACTGCCGACCTTCTGATCGTCAAGTCCTAGGCTCTGTGGTTTAACCCACAGCGCCACCTGCATCCCCCCAGCAAAGACTACAGGACCACTAATGAATGTATCCTGCCACATGCCATTGATGCATGAGTTGTTCATTGGTGATGAATGGTCCAAACACCAGTCTGCTTCATTAGTGGTCTAGCAAAGACCCCCCAGCAAAGACTACAGGACCACTAATGAAGTGGACTGGTGTTTGGACCGCTGGGTATAAATTCACCACCAATGAACAACTCATGCATCAATGGCATGTGGCAGGATACATTTGCAACACACACACACACACACACACACACACACACACACACACACCAGTCTGGAGGGGCGTTGGATGATCTGAGGGCATCTTCAGGTTGAACATTTCCACATGAGAAAGAAAGAAAAAACCCCTCACACAGAAAACTTCCTTATCAACGAAATCTAGACAATAGCCTTTCTTAACAGATGGCTTTCTAGGAGCAGAACATTTCGGGGGTTTTTAGTTTAGGAAAGAAAGTCAATCATGGGTGCTCCACGTAAAGTCCAGAAGTGGTTATCTCCTATGTGAACGGCAGCTTAGAACTAAGAGTTAAATTGTGGTCTGTGTCCGTCTCCCCCACCCTTACCTCCCATTCCATATCCCATAGTTCCTTGCAGCAGTTGTCAAGACCAAAAAAAGCCCTGCCTTCTCAGCCGAGATGCCACATATCTTCTTATATAAGTGCAACCCCCCAAAACTCGATTTAACCTGAGGCGACAAGTCAGAGAGAGATGGGCTCAGCCACTTGGAAGGCAGCACACACACACACCCCGGTTCCCTGCCACTTGCGCTGCTCCACAAGGCAGGAGAAAGCTGGCGATCAGGGCAGCGGGGAAGGAATAGCGATGGAGAAGGCTCTCTGGCCTGGCACCACGGGGAAAGCAATTGGAGAGAGGGATTTGGAGGGAGAAGCTGTGTTTTGGACCAGTGCCTGGCTCCGTCTCCTGGAGGGCAGTTTGCGACGAAGCTCTCTCATCGCATTCTCCTTTCGTCCAAGGTCACAGCTAAGCGAGCTGGAACAGTGACATAATAACACATGCACACAAACAGCCGCTCGCACTTCCAGTGTGCTGGGAACGCGTGTGCACGCAGAGACCGGGCGGGGTGGCTCGGGGGCAGCGCCACATCACCTCAGCAGACTATCCGATTCCTTTTCTCCTTCCAGGAAAACCATCACCCCCAAAATAACCAGCCTGGTCACGGAGGACAAAATAAAATATATAAATAAGAATAAAACACCCTCCACTCTTCCCTCCCCTCTCCTTTCTTTCCGCAGTAGGAGGTTCTGTGATAGTTTTAAAGGGTTGGTTTTCCTCAGAAGATGCAACACTGGCCCACGGATGTCAAACCAATCGTGGTCCCTTCTCATGTCCCGTTCCTGCCCCCCCCCCAACTTCTGAGTAAGGGGCAGACGGTGGCAGGGGGGCGGGAAGGAACACGCACAAACAGAGAGAGGTGGAGTTGTGGCGGGATGGGTGATTGTCTGCTTGTCTGCGGGTCACAGGGAGAATATTTTCCCTTTCCCACTTCTAAACCCATTTAAAGAGTAACAGCTGCCCACCCCATCCTCTCAACTAGGAATGTAAAGAGTGACAGCAAAGCAGAGGATACCATGGGCAGTACTGGCAACATTGCCTACCGATTATTAACGTTTTATTCTATGGTCATGAGGGCTAGCAGCTTTTTAAGAAGGAGCAGAAGGAAAAGAAGTCCGAATCACAGCAGGTCCACTGGGGAAATACTACAGGGGAGGTTAGGAGACCACAGTGGGTAAGCATGTTACCGAAACACTGCTAAAGTTTAATTTTACTTCACGTTTATTTACTTTTCTGCAACTGTAGATCCCCAAGGCGGCTGGAGAGGGCCTTCTCGGTGGCTGCTCCCAGACTTTGAAACTCCCTCCCTAGAGAAGTTAGACTTTTAATGAAAGGGCTAGTGCCGTGCTGTTTTTATTGTGATTATCTGTATGTTTTAAATAGATCATATATATATATAGTGTGTGTGTGTGTTGACTTTATTAGTGTTTAAATTATTTTAAATTATTCCCCCTCTGTTTAGCTGTTTTTATTTTATCTGTAAGATGCCTTGAGCCCGTGTAAAGGAAAAAGACAGGGAATATAATATAATATAATATAATATAATTAATTACTAAACATAGGGTTTCATAATAATAATGCACAGGGTTTGAAACCATCCCCTATCCAGGCATGACTAGACCTATTTAGTTTCAGCAAGGTTGCTGTATCATGTGCCTTTACCTTATAGTCCAAGTACAACCAATCACCTCTCCTTTTGTCCTCTTTTATTTGAATATAAGGATTCTATAGTGAGCCTATTGGCTCCTCTAGCCATCTTCCTGTTGGACCATGTGGCTGGATGCTGGGCACATGACTGGCTCCTCTCCAGAGCCATTTGCATTGATGTTCTGTGTCACTCCTGGCTGGCTCAGGCAATTAACCTACCTTAGCTTTGGATGCTTGGCACCCCCATATATTCTCAAAGGCTGCTCAGGTTGCTAATTTGCATGACGAAAGGAGACGCAGGCCAAGGTCATCTCCTGGCAAGAATGGGCAAACGGTCCTATCAGGCCAGGCAAATGGTTCGTCCCTCTGCCATAGTGGCAAGATCTGGATGATTCAGAAGCAGCCACAGGGCACTTCAGAGGCCATCTTGATTCAGAAGGCAGGCTCAAAGTTTGGGAACATTCTGCTCCCTCTGTTTTCAAGGAGTCCTAGGCATGTTGATGGGGGGAAAGATACCCAAGCGATGGAAGGAACAGAATCTATTTATTTAGCCATCACAGTTGTAACCCTGTTTAATCCCAAAACTGGTCCTGCGCTGAGGTACATTGTGATTTAGAACCTCATAATTGGAGAGTTGGAAGGGACCTTGAGGGTCATCTATTCCAACCCCCAAGGAAAGAGAGTCCACAACCTCCCAAGGGAGACCGTTCCATGGTCAAACACCTCTTACTGTCAGAAAGTTCTTCCTTAAATTTAGTCGGAATCTCCTTTCTTGTAACTTGAAGCCATGGGTTCGA